ATTTGTACACAACGGGAGGGCATTCTTCGCCCTCCTCTTCAACTTTCGCCGCTTCGAGGGCTGTGGCTGGTACTCGGCGGGCCACTGGATGACAAACGGGTATGGTGTCTCCGTCACCCTGCGGCGGCAGAGAGGACCTCCCCGGCCCGGCGACCCCCCGCCCCAGCCCCCGGACGTCCCGAGGACCGGCGGCAAGCGCGATCGCAGCGGGGCGCCCCTGGGCGCCCCGCAGGGCAGGGGATCGCCGACGAGCACTACCGGTGAGTGGTCTGCGCCATGGACTCCTATGGTGTGTGCTGCTAGGGATACTTCTCCTGGCTTGTCGACATGCTGCAGTGATTGCGTGGGACGCTTGCAAGTTGTGCAGGGGTGTTGGCTGCTCCGTTTCTGGGAGCGACTGCAGGGGTGCTGTTTACCAGCAGCGAAGTGCGCCACCCTACGCAACTACCCACTCACCCGCCAACCACCCACACTTGCCGCGCTCCTACAACATGACTCACCCCATACCACCACCCCCCTATACACACATCTGCAGGCGGGACCGCCCGCCAGAGGATGCCAAGATACACCTGTATGTCGGCATCGACCCCGGCCGGACCAAGATGTTCACCGCGGTGGACGAACACGCCAACGTGACATCCTGTTCATCAAAGGAGTTCCACTCCATGTCGGGGTTCAAGCGGCGGGAGAAGACCATCTCGAAGTGGCACGCAAAGGCCCCACCCTATGTCAAGAAGCTGCACCAGTGAGTGGTGATTGGGTTGTGGAGTTAATGCAGGGGTATGCCCCACAGGGGCAGGCACTGTGTCACGACACCCCGCATCGCTCCAACTGTACCAACCCTCTTGCTCAACCCCACCCCCCCCCTTCCCGCAGGTGCCCGACCTATAAGACAGCGAGCACAGAGGTGCTCCTGTCGCGGGTCGCGTGGATCGTCCCCACCTTGCGACAGGGCCTGGCTTGGCACAGGGACGAGAAGCCGTTCCGCAAGCTGCGCCACCAGGCCTACATCGGCAGGGAGCGGGCCATCACCCAGCTGGCAGAGCAGTTCTGCGCCCCCCCGGGCATGACTACCATCGTCGGCGTGGGCAACTGCTCGGCCCAGGACCGGGGGGGCATCATGCGGGGGCCCCCGCCGGGGCCCTGGATCCGCTTCTTGCGGCGCCTGCGGCGGGTGTGCAGGGTGGTGGTGGTGGACGAGCACAGGTCATCAAAGCTGTGTTGCGCCTGTCACGCCACCCTGCATGCCCACCAGTACGTGCGGGTGCGCCGAGGCGAGGAGAAGCTGGTGGACGTGTGGGACACCAAGCGGTGCACGAACAAGGGCTGCAAGGTCAACGTCGTCAACCGCGACGTGAACGGAGCAGCCAACATGCTCATGCTGACCAAGTGCTTTTTTGAGAATGCACTTCGTCCCACTGCATTTGGTAGCCCCCCTGCTTCCCCTTCCTTTCCTCCCACCCCCCCGCCCCTGGTTCGCCGATCGAGGCAACCAACTGCGCCAGTCAGATCCCGCTTGCGGGAAGCAGCTGTGCAACCGGCGCAAGCCCGGTAGCGGCATATCTTCGGCTCGCGCGAAGCATACGCCGGAATAGTTGTAGCAGAAAGCGATAGTGTCAGAAAATGATGCGAAGACTGCCCGATTGTGTGTGGACCCTCGCGGCGCTTCCGAATCGACGAATATTTACTCTATTCATAAAGACACAGTGGCCGACGCAAGATGTGCGCCAGCGTGTTTCTGACTCGCAAATGTTTGGGATCGAGACTTCATCGATATAGTTCTGTGCAGTCACTGACTCTCGGTCCCAACAGGCGTTGTGGGTCGCAAGTCCGGTTCTAGCTGGTCAACGTCGGAAGAATCCCAAAGCGGAACAAACTCAAAACTGAGGTACTTCCAGCTCCGACACCCGACGCTCGCCGTAAAGGGTTTTTAGAAAAATTTACTAGATTTGAATTCCAGGTTAAATTACACACCGTGGGATGAAATGAGTGGACATGAGGAGGGGACGCTGACGCAGACTAGAATTTCCCATCGGAGTATGAGATACGGCTCCGGATGCGACGAAACAATGCACTCGGGGGAGGGCAGTATCCCCTCACGACTCTTTCAGCTGATGGGTTGATAGTTAAACGTTACTATAAATGCTCTCCCGTTTATGCCGTCCCCTGACATCGTTCCACACGCATCGTTTGCCATGGGGTCGACGTTCCTGGGTTTGGTAAATCCCATGCGGTCTCCAAGATTTGGGCATGAGTCCATGCCAACCCTCCGTGTGCTCCGGCCATAAAGTACACGTCTTCGCTGCACAAACATCCGATGTGTCCCTGAGTTCCACCTAGTGCACTCCCAGGCCATAATTTGGTCGAGTAGACTGGGTGCAGAGCAATGGCTAGAATGCGGTTGGGCGTCGTGCTGATTCTACTGGTCGGCTTCGCATCGGCCGATCCTTTAATGTCGCGAGGGCTTGCCCAAAGCAGGTGAGCGCGCAACGCCATGAGTCATGTGCTGCATAATCACATATTTGTTATGTTGTGTTCCAAAGAGTTAGGGGGGAAGGGGCTGTCGGTGAACCCCGAGACTCGGGAGGACAGACCTTGTCACCCGCGCGCTCGGCGTCAACCCTCCTCCAACAATGTAACACACAGGAAATTGTTTGGCTCAGTCAGTGCTTCTGGGGCCTCCGATGGTGAGTTGTCCGGTGCGGTCTCGTCAACGACGGGGGCCTACAGCTCTTCCGGGACGATCTCGGCCTCAGCATCAGGGAACGACGCCCGCGCCATCGGCGGCTTGGAAGGCTCCTCTAGCACCACAGGCTCCGCTGTGACGGGCACGGCCAGCGGGACGGTGAGAGCTTTCATTGGTTATCGCTGGGTATTGCAGGAACGGACCGGCAGCATGCACGGCATGGTTGTCAGGTGTCAGGTCATCGTGCATAGTATGTGGCTGTGACTTTCCATACTCCAATACCGATGCAGGCGTCCAGTGATGGCACCTTCACGGCTACTACAGACTCAGGCTTCACTGGAACAACCACGGGACCCGCTGGGGTTGCAACGTCCCAGTGGACTTCCCAGGCCAACAGCTCTTCACCCGGGGTAGTGACCTCCATCACTGACGGAGCATCCACTCAGACATCTGAGGGTGGAACGGTGAGGGGTGTGCTTGACAGCGTCTGCATATATCGACATGAGGGTGGGCCACAGTACGGTGTAAACACTTGCACGTTGGTGGAAATTGTCGGCGAGGTGCTGAAGGATGCATGATTGTTTAACTCATCGTCACCATCTCCCAATGTGTCACAGGTCTCAGGGAGTACGACGGCGGAAGGCCCTGGTTTCTCCAACACCGAATCTTCCTCCGACTCTGGGACTGGTACCCTCACTCAGACAGGCTCAGCCGACAATGATGGGACAGTGACAAATGTCATCATATCGAGCCCCAGCTCCAGCCCGGAGGCGTCGCCCTCACCGAGCCCCGGCCTTGGTGAAGAGCCCAGCCCCAACCCCAGCCCAGAGGCATCACCCTCACCCATCCCCAGCCCCGAGGCGTCACCCACTCCCCAGCCCCGAGGCGTCACCCTCACCCATTCCCCAGCCCGAGGCGTTACCCAGCCCCAGCCCCGAGGCGTTACCCAGCCCCAGCCCTGAGGCCTCACCCTCGCCCATCCCCAGCCCCGAGGAGTCTCCCAGCCCTGAGGCGTCACCCTCACCCATCCCCAGCCCCGAGGCGCCACCCC